AGAGTTCAGTTTTGTCCTAAAAGATGTGTTCTGTTTATAGAAATACAGTCTGCTCACGCACACCTACCTGCAGTTTGTTTGTATTGCTGGAATGACCTTGACCTGGCTTTTTGTTCCACACTGGTGAAATATCTGGAGCCCTGTGCTGCACCTTGCTACACAAGTGAGTGCTGCCACATGGCAGGACAGTTCATTGCACATCTCTGTGTGAGCATCAGTGTCTGCCTGCTGGCTGGCACTGCTGGTCTTGCTGTAGACCAGCTCTGCTTCAAGGTCATACTGGAGGGGTGGCTTTAGGGTACAGCTCAGTGCATCAAATGCTGTCAAATCCAGTTCCCCTGATCCCTCGCTCTGGTGCTTACTGGCACAGTGAGTCATGGTGTGCAACCAGCCCAGGCAGAAGCTATTTTTAATTTCTGCAATGAGCTGTTGGTTGCTTCAGCTCCTTGAAGGGCAAGATTGCTGTGTGGTCATTGTCAGCGCTGCAGTCCTGCCCAGCCACATGTGTCATGGGGAGGGGAATAGGGACCCAGCCATCCACACTGAGGGCTATGGGCAGGTAAATGGGTTCAGCCACATCAAAAAACACCATGCTTATGACTATTCCCTTTGCATTGCAGCTGTGATGATATGACCATGGGATGAACTTGTTCAGTATGCTCTTCTGATTGATCAGAAGCATCCCAAAAGAGTACCGCCATGAAAGAGCAGAATAGAATAGTTCAGCTGGAAAAGACCTACAGCCATCACCTAGTCCAACTGCCTGACCACTTCAGGGCTGATCACAAGTTAAAACATGTAATTACAGGCATCATCCAAATGCCTCTTAAATACTGATGGCCTTGGGGCATTAACTACCTCTCTAGGAAGCCTGTTCAGTGTTTGATCACCCTGTCAATAAGGAAAGGCTTCCTGCTAGTCTTCTGTTGGATCTCCTAGTTGAACTGGCTCACCTTGGCAGCCTCTCATCACTAAATCTGGTGTAGGATGGAAGGAGAGGTCACAGCTAGGGATCACCCTACTGTGACTGCCCCGCTTAGATCAGCTGAAACAAATGCTGGTTCATGCTCACCTACATGGACAGAGTTGCCAGAAGCTGCCGCCTGCACCCTCCCTGCTCCCCACTTCTCTGATCTTATCAGCCATGGACCCTTGCAGTGACTCCAACCAGCCAACTGAAAACCAACTACATGCCTTTTTTCTGGACCATTCTGCAGCTGCATTGGCTCATTTAAGCTGGGGTTTATGGTTCCCACATGCACCAGTCCTGGTGCAGAGATGTGAAGAGCATCCAGCTAGAGGTGGTGGGGAAGGACAGATACGCCTCTTGGAGCAGCTTGAGGTTTTCTGTCACAGCTGCCCTTCACCGAAGCTCTGGCCCTGCCAGGTGTTTATCATTCTTCTATTCTATGATTCTATGACTCTTCACACTTAGGTTTCCCTCCTCCTTGACCTGCTCCTTCTCATCTCTGTGAGCTTCTGCTCTGCTGGGGACTCCTCTGCTCGGGTCTTCCTCTGGATGCTCACTGGGACCGTCTTGTTCCATGTCCACCAAACCCTGAGGAGGCTTAAGCATCAGTTTGACTAATTTAGGCTAGAACGGGTCCAACCTCCACCCGCCTCCATTAGGAACAAGCTCCTGCATGGGTACCCATAATGAGTCATTGGCTCTGACACCTCCTGTGCACAGGCTCCTTTTGCCCTTTTTTCTGCTGGTGGCAGTGATATGCCCCTTTACCACAGGAGTCTTGGATTTTATGCACTGCAAATCCTAATAATAACAACTCCCAGAAGAACTGCAATCATCACGAAATTTCTGACCTGCAAGGTGTGCTCCTTTGACCTTGCTTTTTCCAGTGCAAGCAGTGTATGACACATGATAATGTATTGCCCTGCCCTATATATCAGTAGATGTTATCCAGAAATTAAAATTTGGAAGGAGCATTTATTTTGTTTCTGCAGAATAAGGGCCATGGATTCACTGTACCGCAGATGTCCAGCAGCCCAAAGCTGGAGGGGGCAGTTGAGCTCCCTGCTGCACAGCAAGACCCAGTCTTGGTAGCTTGTATCCAAGTAATGATCTGGGACTTCCTGCAGGACAAGCCCATGTCAGGAGCAATTTAGGAGCAATAATGAGTGGAGTAACACTGATCGGCAAAGGAGACAAGGAGTTATCACTGCCCTCCAAGGATGGGGGAGCCCAAAGCTGGCTGCAGGAGGTGCGATTGTCAGTCTCTGAGAGCTGGGCTTGCCTTGGGGCTGGCAGCCACTGTGGTGGGTGAGCTCACCCTGACAAGTTGGCTGTGGGGAGCAGCATCCCCAGGGTGGGAGAGGTGTAGGGAGAATAGGGGCTGTGGGGTCCCACCTGTGGGGCCCTGCAGGGCCTGGGTTGTGATGACAGGCGTGCTGCACTGATCCCAGTAGTTTAACCCCACCTTTGTGCTGGTACCGGCTCTTTTTGTGGTCTTTTTCCTTTCCTTTGTTTGAGGTGTGTGGCGACTCCTGACAGCCCACAGCTCCATGGCTGGACTAAGTGCAAAACAGTGTTTGTTTTTTTCCCCTGCCAATTTCAAGCAAGGTGTTCTGCAGTCAGCCCCGGGCAGAGGAAGTGCAAGCAAACCTGTGACCAGTACTAACAAGTGACTGGTGGCTGCCCACATGTGAGAGGCTGGTGGTACATACACTGCTGCAGAGCAGAAGGTCCACCAGTGCCCGGCACTGGTGCCTTCATGGCCAAAAATAGCTGGGCCTGTTGCAGGAAGAGGAATACTGCCAGGGAGCAGGGGCCACAACTCAAGGAACAGTCTGTCACACAGAAAACACAACAGCATCTTATTTAGCATGCATTTCCCTCAGTTTCTGGGAAAACTATTTACAAATAAATACCAGATATTTTGCTCAGCGTAAGAAGAGTTGGCTAAAATCCTGCTGTGCAGCTGCACAAGTGTTTGGTAGTTCAGGATCCTCACACTGTTTTTAAGGAAGAAGACGTGTCACCTAATGCTGCTTTTAAAATAGACCGGTGTGTAAATGAAAGAGCTCTTTAAGGACTCTGGGTGTTGCAGGACAGCGAACAATATGGGAGCTGTCCCCACACAAATTATAGCAGATGACAGTTTACCAATATATCTGCAATGCCAAAACAAACAGCAGTAAACACCAAAACAAGAGGTCACTGCAGCCTGTCTTCCATGCGCCACCACTTTTCTTTCTGATCTGCAAGGTATTTTCTATTATAGAGTGTATGCAAGTGTCTGCTGGGGAGATGGATTCCCACCTTGGCAAATGCTATCAGTTGTGCCTTCTAGGGGCAGTGCAATATCTCATTATAGTTCCTACCTATCCCTGTGACCAAAAAAGTCACAGTCACCCACAAAATCTTACACTGAAGACATCAATATTAAATGGGCAAGGACTGAGACTTTCGAGCGAGAGACCATTATAAATTGCAAAATAAAAAAGGCAATGAAAAGTTAATTGTATCTCTTGCCCTAAAGTACATTTCAGATCCTGTCTGCTTTCCAGGCTTGTGCATAAATATCCATAATTCTGCATCTTTAATTGAAAGACGCATTTATCTTAGCTGTCTTTCTGTGACAGCTCAGAGGAGTTACACTGTTAATAATCGTAACAGTTACTCAGTGGTATTGCAGTCCTGCTATGAGAGCTGAGCCATGCTCTAAGAATATAGAAACCTGGAATCAAAATATATTCCCAGCCCAAGAGCTGAAATCCAATCATAAATTACATCGTAAAAAACCCTTTTTTTTCCTTTGTATGAAGATATCAGCCCAAGGGAGTCAGGAATCCACATCAAACTGAAACTCTTAGAAACCATAAATCTAATTCCCTCAGTCCTTCTTGCAAAGCCTGTCCAACTGTGTCAGCACTAAAATAATCATTTTAGTGGGATTCTTACACAGGCCCCTACACAGGTCTCATCCCAAGTAAAAGCAGTACAGAGCAGGGCAGTATCCAGGCAGGCTCATGTTCGCCTTAGCCTTGCAGACAAAATCCTGAACTTGAATGCATGGAAGATTGCTGTTGCTAATCTTATTTCACAGGAAAAAAATCATGTACTTCCACCAGCATCTGGCAAGATGCAGGCTGTTAGCTTCTGACTTAGAAGAAATGTTGTATGCATACAATTCATTGGCTGGTGAAGTTTCTGGAATTACCTTTTTCCTTTACAATTTTGAAGATGCAGTCTGAATTCCCCTTTCTGTGTTATGAATCACTGCCTGGTGGCAACACAGCTGTAGACATTTCATAGGCCACAAAACCAGAATGGGCATAATCCTCTTCTCACACTAGATTTACATTTGTGTCACTGTTAGTAAAGTTGGCAGCAAAGATGTTGACAGAGCTGAGGGCTGGCTGGGGCCCAAGGGCACTAATTTTTAAAGGTGGTGATCGGGATTAGTAAATCCTGCTTCCAAAAGAAGCCTTAGCCCCACTTCCTACCCTCAAGAGCTTTTTTGTTCTCAATTTAATCATTATTAAGAATGGGCTGTAGCCATCCAAGACATGTATGTGTTGCAACAGAAGCAGAGGCAAATCAAACCTCTGCTGCCTGAGAGCTGCTGGAGGGTGCCCTACCCTGATGATGGAGGTGTGAGAAGGGTGCCCTGCATAGTGTGAGCAGGAGGCACATGCTGATGTTGTTTCTGTAGTCCTCAGCCCAGGTGTCCTAGAACTATCAAGACCTGCAACTATGGAGAAAGAGGCTTTTCCTGGAGGTGGCAAGGAAAGGGAAAAGGCTGTCAGGAGATTAAAATAGCCTCTGCTCAAAGTGAAACTACTGTAGGTCCTGGCTGAGCCTAAAAAAAAAGGCTTCAGGAGTGACAGTAGGCCATCAACTAAAACAGTGCATAAGACCTTGGGTGCCTTTTGCTGTCCAGTTTTGCTTTATGAGCACTGGGGCTTGCAGATGGCATATTGGAGCTATTTTGCAAAGAAGCTGCTTACCAGTGGCTGTCATTTCCTTGTATATCCTGCAGGTTTCTGAATCCAGACCTGGCATTTGACACCTATGCCCTGCTTTTCCAGCTTCTGCTATGGTCACCTGAATACAGTGTTTCTTGGCAGGTTCCTCTCACCCAGCTTCTGAAAAATAGAGCCAAAACTGAGATGCTAAACTGGTGGTGGGTACAGTGTGCTTGGAAGGTACCAGTCTACCTTGGAGCATGAGGGTAAGTGGATAGGACCGGTGTGATCTTGACCGCAGCCTTGTCACAGCACTCTTACAAATATACTGCAGTACAAGTGCTGCAGCAGTGACAGTCTAAGGATAGAAGAGGTGATATTTTTTTATTAGAATGGCTAATGTAAGTGAAAAAAGTGGTTAAACTTCTGGGTTTAAGAGGATTCTGAGCCCAAAACCTTTGCCTGAGTTTAGCGATGAGATCTGGCTAAGGTCTAAAGGTCCGTAAGACCATGACCCAGTCTTATCAGGAGCCTAACAGACTCATAAAACAGTCTGCTAAGCCCACAAAGCCCATCAGGAATGCAAGGCTTCAAGTGGGATCCAAAAAGGCACTTTAGCAGCTGATGCAAGACTTGAACATGTTGGAGGTTCCTCAAGTAGAAATAAGTGATCCAAGAGACTCGACTCAGCTGGTTTTGAGGGCTGGGGGAGCTCAGCTTTGAATTTTGATTTTCAGGGTGGAACCTGAAGTTACATCTCTTTGTGTAACAAACTTACTTTGTGCCTTAAGAAGAAGCTGGGGCACTTTGGAAGATGGGAAAATGTAGACTGGAAACCTTTTTTCACATACAGTGCCAGCATTATAAATGCAGCAGAATGAGCCCTGCTCAGTTCAGATTGCAGGTGCCTGTCTTCAGGAGACACCTTGCATGAGTGGAGGCCAGTGTCTTTGCTCTGAAAGATTTTGGGGTTCACATCAAACTGTCAGTTCAACATTAAGATAGCTACCCCGTTGAAACACCCCACTTACGCAATGCTGTACAGGAAGATGTAAGTGTATGGTGCCGGCTCATGGATGCTGCTGTAAGGTTCAGTCACTAATTTGTCAGTGTAGAAGTCTTCAGGGGAGAAAGGGAACTGAAAAGGTTAGGATATTTACTTTGAGAAGTGTAGGTTTACTAATTATGAACCTATTCCAGGAGATTTACTACAGATTTGCTGTGACTTCAGTGTTATTAACCTGTTTTTCAATTTTGGAGCTCTGCTGCTGTCCTTAAATTAGCCCATGACCTAACAAAAGTATTTAAGCATGTACAGCTTTAGTCATCTATGTGTTTCCACTGACTTCAGCAGGAACGATCAGGTGTTAAAGGCAGCATCAATACCTAAGTGGTCTGCTGGATTGCCATCTTATGCGCTGGGGACAATGTCATACATAATGTTTAGATTAAATGGGAGAAGAGGGAGCATTTCTAACATGATTACAGTCAGATTTCCTTCCATGTTTTGCAGAGGAAAACAGTATGCAAATGCTGCACGTGCCTACGTGGATTCAACCTTTCTTTCCTCTTTTTTTGATGTCTCCAGTTCTGACAAACAAGTTGCCTGTGACTGCTGAAGAGAAATTCTCCCTGAGGTTTTGGGCCATGGGGAGAGGCACTGTGGATTTAGGCAGAGCCCTGTTTGCCTGCTTCTGGCTACACTTTCCCACTCTAACACTCTTCCTCCAGTTGCACAGTGGAGAAGAGGTGAATTGTGTTTGGGAGCTGAGCCAGAGTGAAAATAACTCATGTGGGGAGTGTGCTGCTTTTTTAAAGAAGCCTCCTGGTCAGTTTCATGACACAATGGCACAAAGAGCTGCACCAGCACAGTGGAAGGAGCATAACCCAACCACTCCATCAAAGTGCTGCTACCACAAACGATGTCTGCAAAACCACAGCCTTATTGCCTTATTTTCTTATTTCTTGTGCCAGCAGCATGGAATGTAGAAGAGTCCAAATGTGAGTTCCTACTCTCACCCCTTCCTCTCTTTCCCAATCCTTCTCTCTCCTGTGAGGGATGGGGTGAGGAGAAAGCAGCTGAGCATGGAGGCTGATGTTCCTGGCACGGCACAGAAGCCTTGTTCTTTTGCTGTATCATCCTGTTCCCAGCTCCAGCTTGTGCTGTGCATTTCTGTCCTTGTGCTGGACCCTGCTGCCCCCCAGTCATGCTGACATACTTCTTTGTATGTCCACACTGCAATCTAATCCTGGGAGCAATCCAGCTGAAAACAAGTATTCTTCCAGGCTAATTTTTCTTCTGGCTTCCAGCTCCCCTGTGCCAGCATGGCACAGGGCATTGCACACAGGGAAAGAGGAGAGTCACTAGGCCAAAGGTTTGTTCTGGCAGACTACAGAGCAAACATGAAGTATCCAAACAAACTTGGTTTACACAGCCATCACTATCTTTCACAGTTAACACTATCCAGTGGACTTGGGGCATTTGATCTCCCTCCAATGCTGGAATCTAATAGTGCAAATTCTGCATTACAAAACAAATACCCTACAACAAAGCTCATGCCGTTCACCCATGTGGGGTCTACAAGTGTGAGCTACTTGGATGCCTTGTACAAGAGATATGCAGCTTTGAGTTTGCTGCTGAGGGTGGTGTGGGAAGGCTGGGGCAAGACACACTGCTTAACTGACCATACATGTGTTGAGGAGTCACATGGAAATTGTGAGGGTCTCCCATCCTCACCACAGTTACCTTCACCATTGTTGGTCATAACTTGCACTGTTGCTCTGCGAGTCTTTTCCCCAGTGCGCCATGCATCCATGCAGGCATCTTGTTCTGGACACCTGTGGGCAGTAGGTGAGAGCCCTGCTCACACAGCTTCCACCTGTTCACCTTCCGCAAAGGCTGACCCCATGGCAGTCGCTAGCTTTGCTGACAGCACCCATATACCTGTCAAAGCAATAGTCTGAGCTCACTCAGGGCTTTAGCAGCTCCTAGCTGGAAGGCTGTGTGTAAAAAGAGATGAAAGTGAATTTTCAGAGTGTCAGGCTGTACTAAGTAATCAAGAGCCAAGAAATATGTATGCAAAGTAGGCATATGTGATTTAATTCTACCTTTGTGTCATCCACCTGTTTTAAATAGTATTACTATGTAATTGCTTGCATTATGCCTGTCCAATAATACCATTTAGTGTTAGTAATACTTAGTGTCGTATCTTCAAAGTGGTTTACAAGGTAGTTATGAAATGCATAATTTAAGTGAAAACAAGCACCTTGGGGTGGGACCTGTGCTGGTGTTTGACAAAGCCTGGCAAGTGTCTGCACTGCTGACTGAAATCTGGCAGTCAAAAAGTACTGTATCAGTCAGAAACGCTTGTTTCACTTCAAGGACATGTTAAAGCAGCTGTAACACAGAAGTTAGGAGACTACAGCACAGCTTGAATGCAGCCCTTTGCCTTCAACCATGTCCATGGAGTATTGAAAACAACTGTGTCAGTATACAAACACTAATTAATCCTCAATAAAACAGGTAAACAAAGTACACAAAAAGCACTCACAAGTCAATTTGCTGCAAGGACAGCATGAATTGCTGCAGGTGTTTTCCAACTCAGGGCAATTGTGACCAGCTTTGACAAATGTGAGTCCTCACGTTCTTGGGCTCCAGCTGAAATAACATTCAAAAAGGTGCAGGGGTCACTTTTACCTGGAGAAGAAAAATTTCCTTACAGAAAATCTGGGCTCCAAATCTGCAGAGTTTCTTCAGACACATCTGTGGATGTAAGAGAAGCTTGAGCAAGTGAGTGTATTTGCCTTTGCAGCCTTCAAATGCAGGACCTCAGTTCCACTTTTTTAAGTCAATGTTTTATCGGCACAGGTGGAGAAGAAATATGATGTATTAGCACTGGCAGGAAGTGGCTTTTGGTGAGTTCCAGTTTTCTTTGGATAGCCAGTAAACCTCTGGGTAGGTAAAGCAAATCTCAATCTCAGTATTTGTGTCCTCTCACTTTGTTATAGCCAAAAGTTATCCAGTATCAAATGGAGCCAATCTAATAAATTCCTTCCTCTCCTTCCTCCAAACCCCTTTCTCTGAAGTTCTAAGGAGCCCCTGATTTGCTCCATGTTCACATACCTCGTCCCCATTTAGAGTTCTGGCTGGGCAAGTCCAGGTGATGCTGTCCCTAAAACTGAGGGAGGTCTGAATCTGGAAGAGGAGGGAAAGTGCTCATCCTGGGATCCGTGTGTAAGCTGGAGGGAGCTGGGCCTGAGGAGAACTATGAAAGGTCTCCAATTTGTACCCACTTACATTCCGTATCTTCTAGATCTGATACAGGGGTGCTGCAGATTTGTGAAGTATTTTATTTCTTTGTATCACCAGTGACCCCAAATCTTCCCAGCCCATAAACCGATTCTTATCAACACACTCTGGGGCCCTGCCTGGCTGTTCTCAGGGGGTAGGAGCAGCACCACTGTCCCGATTAGCGCTGGGAGGGAAAACACCTGGAACCCCCAGCATGAAACCCAAGCCTGAGGACATGCGTGCCTGGGGAGCTGGGGGCCCTCCTCTTCCTCTCGCTGGGGCATCCCGCGGAACACGCACGGCAGCCGGTTACTGGGGGGCTCTGGCAGGGAACTGCCGCTCCGGGGCGGAGGGCAAAGCTGCGGCAGTTCCCGTCTGCCCCAGATCTGGGTGCGAGGAGCGGAGCCCGCCCCGCTGATCCCCATCCGGCAGCCCGGGCCCTCCCGCGGCAGCGGGGGAAGGCGGAGCGCGGCCGGCCCGGCCAGGGCTGGACTGGGCTGGGCTGCGGGGGCCGCAGCCGCGCCGCCTTCCCGCCCGCGGGCTGGGAGCGCGCTCGCTCGCTGGCAGTGGCCGGGGCGGGGAGCGCCCGGTCCCTCCTCCTCCTCCTCCCAACCGCTCCTGCCCTCGCTGCCGCCACCCGCGCCCGCCGCCGATGCCGGGACTGCGCCCGCGGTGAGTCTGCCTGCCCGCGCCCGCCCGCGGGAAGTTGCTGCGCGGCCCGCCCGCGCCTTTGTGCGGGGAGAAGCGGCTCTGCCCGCCCCAGCCCCGGCCCCACCGGTGCCGCTTCCCGCCCGGCCCCGCTCCCCTCCGCCGCGCCGGTACCTGCCGCTCTTTGTTCCCCGCCGCCGCCTTTGTTCCCTCGGTGCCGGCTTCACCTTCGGCACCGCCCGTGCCCTGCCGGACCCCGCTCCCAGAGCGGGTCCGTCTTGTCCTCCCAGGCCTTTTGCCGGGGACAGGGGGAAACAGAACGAGGCAGCGGCGGCAGTTCTCTCGGCGGAGCGGGGGCAGAGCGGCGGGGCTCGGCCGGCGGCGGGAGCGGGTGCTGTGGGAACTCCCGCCTCCGCCGGGCCCTGCCTCCCCGGAGCGGTGTCCGGTCCTGCGGGACAGTTTCCCCCGCTGAAAGCCGGAGCGGGCTCGTTGTGGGTGACGGGGAGCGCGCAGGTAAATGAGGCTGCCCTGCACCTCCCGTCTTGGGCAGGTGCCGTGGGTCGTCGCTTATAAAGTGGCTATCTCTTGGGTTACACCTGTGAAAACTGGTGGGGGATACTTGTTCGGGCAAAGTTTTCTGTAAAAGGAGTAACTGCTTTCCTGCTAAAGCCACAGGAGGTACAGGCACAGGCAAGCGTTTCTTCAGCCGCTGTATTTATGAGCCCGAAGTCGCTGCTGTTGCGTCTTCTGCCCTGGACAGAACATGTCCTGCTGAGGGTTCGCGCTCGCTGTTCTCACTGCATGTGGGCTTTTTTCTTTCTCTTCCCCGCCTTGTGAGCCCGCCTCCCTCCTGCCTTCCCTCCCTTCCCTCTCACAAGGGCTCCTGGCAGTCTCCGTTTCCTCTCAGAGCAGTTATTACGGATTTGTATTACTGCAGCTCAGGGGGATGCTGCATGTAGGGCTCTTGGTCTGTTAACTCGGTGCTTACTTTTGTGTCAGGTGCTGCGTGTGTAAGGGTTTAAGAGCAGGCTCGCTGTCTCCTTTCAGCTGACTAAAGGCAGGCTCAGACCTCTGCCTGTCCCCCCAAAACAGGGTTGTTGTCCTGTGTTTTGCCCGAGAGCTGCTGGAGGAGTTGGGAGGTAGAACAGGTTCATGCTCAAGTAACTCAAAATGTACGGAGAAAAAACTTGAAGCAAGTTTGTTTGAGTTTTTCCCAGCCTTTGTCAGATCAGCAACTGTGTTCCACTCACACCTCCGCTTCCCTCTTTCAGGGTGCCTCATGTCCTTCTCTCCCTCTCTTTCCATCATTTCCATGTTTTCCTCCCTCTAGCTTTCAGGATGATCTCCCATCACAGGGCAGACAGACCAACATGTGAGTGCCATGTGCAGGATCTTGGCTTGTCATGGTGACTGTTGGCCAAGCTGACAAAACTGTATCTTGGCAGGCACATTTGTTTACACCTCTGGTCAAAACGCAGTTTCTGCAGGGGACACATACGCAGCCTCTGGCGCCTGGTAAGCTGAGTTGTGGCCTTCAGCTACTTCTGGGGTGGCTTTACAGCTCTGAGAAGGAGCATGGTGGCGGCTGGTAGTGCTGCCCACAATAGCAGTACCCACCACCCCACAGGCGCACAGGCAGGCACCTCACAGTGAAATCAGGGCAGCCTAAATAATTGATTTCTGATGCAGAAGAAGGCACGTCGTAGCAGGAGGGGACAGGGTAGTGTGGATCAAGCATGAGGCAGCAGGGGAGCAAAGCCGTGGCATCTGCAAGCAATGGCAGCAAGGACCAGCTGAAGCTGAGGAGGATGATCAGTGACATGTGGGAGCTTGGAGGGGTGGTGAAACGTCGCAGGGACCTGAATCAACGTTTTGCCCTGTACTGCTTTGTACTGTGGTGAAGTTTGGGCCCCCCTTGTGCAGGGTGCTGTACAAACATGTATTCAGAAGAGTATACACGGTGTTTGTTCTTCCCTTCATAGTGCAAGGTAATGAACGATAATAGCCTTTTTACCCTAGTTATCAATAAAAACATATAGTAAAGTTCCTTTATTTAAACAGTTCTTTACAAACGAGTTCAGGAAACTGTATTTAATTGCTGTTTGTGTCATACCGTGCTAAGAATTGAGCATGATGGTTTAAGAGGGGGAAAGGAGCTTATTTTTCTCCAGTTAAATCTGAATAAAGTTCATTAAAGTAAATGAGAACTTCGTTGGTGTCAGTAGCACTCAGCCAGTCCTGCAGTGTGCTAGCTACTTTTTATTTATTCATCAGGCACAGATTTTGAGCATAGACACAATGAAGTAATTCAAGAAGCGGCATGCATTACTGGCTAATGATCTAATAGGTTGAAAATGCTTTATCTCTCTAGCTGTTAATTTGAGGTTTTATGGTATAAGGGAAAGTAACAAAAGAAAAAAAGTGTTACTGTTTGTTCCTCTGCAGTTTTAACTGTGGGGGTTAGCTTATTTCTTCTTAGAGGTTTTTGGGCAAAGTTGCTCCATATATCAGGAGAAAACTGCTTTGTTTGGCGGAAAAATGGACCACACTTTAGCCGTTTTACTGAGCTCTTTATGCACACTTCAAAACCCCGTTACCAGTAATTAATTCCCTAAATGATGAGTTCAGCCCTGTTCAGTTTCCTTGCCATCTGAATATAGAAATGAACTAAAGCAAAAAGCCCAAGGGAAGATCAGGTATAAAGAGCTTCATTCATGTTGGTTTATCTGTAGTACAGGGATATGCCCTTACTGCATGAATCATCTCCTGACATCTGTTCGCAGCGCTGTTTTCTTAGCAAATGTGGCTCTGTTTTAGATCTGGACTCTCACTGACTGGGTTTGTATGGAGAGATGCAGAGACATCCAAACTCCTCCTCGCAAAGCTGTGCCTTTCAGCCCATTTACCCAATTCATTTTCTTCCCTGGGGCACAATAAATGCCGGTTTTAAAAGTCTACCAGCTGAGATGCTGTTTCTGTGTATGCACAGAGATGATTATCTGTTGCTTACCACAACTGAAGTGTTTCCCCAACAAGATCTGGCAGCGTGGGAGAGCACCCGTCAGGTTGCAGTGGTCCGTGTTGTTTCTCGAGTTGAAGGAATGAGCCCTGTGTGCCACCACGCTTGCTCTAGCTTTTCTGCAGTTTGTTTTGAACTGTCATGAGACTCTTAGATGTGGGAGAGGACGTGGTCTTGGAGGAATGCTGGAAATGTAGACAGTGGTGGCAAGGACCCACTCCTAGCAACGTGCCTGTTTGAACAAGTAGTCGGATTAGGTGGTGGGATTATACGTGTGGAGTGCTGTATGAGTAATGCTTCAGGGCTGGATCCATAAGATGTGATTAAAGGCAAGGTGACATTCCATACACCTCTCACCTAATCTTTCTTTGCCTGAATTTCATCCTCTGCCAGTGTGGGTGGAAGACTCCTGTGTCTGAAACACAGGTGTCCATATAGCCACTGGGAGATGAGGTTGATCTGATTTTTCCCATCTGTGCTCTGTGGAGGGGATCAAGGCTTCAGCTGGGTTTGGGGGAATTTTTTACTTCAGCTGATGTGGATGAATTGGTCTGGAGTGTAAATATATGTCTGGGAGTAAAAATGGTATGTCCATGTTAAGGGCCAGGCTATGTTCACCCTGCTTCTTCCTCTGCCAACATGCAGCTTCCTCAGGAGGAGCAGAAGATTATACCTGCAGTAGCACCTACAACTACTGGACTATGAATCAAAAATACAGTGTATGTTACCCCACAGGACATGGGTTTGACTGTCTTACCTTTCCTGGGCTGACTTCCATCCTGTGGAGCATGAAGGTTGTCATCATCAAGTGGTCACTGTGAAGGATGAATGTATTTTAGCTTGGGAGGGGACAGACCCCTGATGTCTGGAGATTTTGTCTGTGAAGACATTGCAGAATGGAAATAGGAAGGCTAACAGTGTCTGTCAGTACTGGCCAGCTTCCTGTGACCTTCATGGATCACACACAACTCCCAGTGTTTGTGGGGAAATGAAGAAGACGGGCTCTACGGATCACCTGAATCACAGTGTTTGTAGAAGGAGATGAAGCAAGCAGCTTCTATGGATATGCGAAAGGGCCAGGATGGGGACAGAAGAGGGGGTGGGGAAAACACTTCTGTTTAGCTCAGCCGCACACACAGGAAGGGAGCAGAAAGCTGTGCTGGGGAAAGGGCTGGTGCAGAACAGGCTCTTATCTCCCCACAGGAGGGGAAAAGGGGCCGAGCTTTGACTATGGACTTAACTTTGGTCTCTGGTCTCTCATAGAGATGCATGTTTGCTTTCTGACCTTCCTGCAGCCTGCTGATAAGTCCCTACACAATATAGTGGCACAGATTGGCTCAAGAAGCTTTTAAGGAGTTGCTGACCCTGGTACAAGCAGTACTGTTTGTGGCCAGGGATGGGGAAGAAAAGAATGGTATTAGAGCTTTTTAATGGAGCTTTAAGACTCAGGCTGTAAGTTCTATCAAAGGAAATGACAATTAGGATGGAAAACAAAGTACTTGTAAATCCTTTCATGTAAGTGTAGGGAGGAGACAGAAATGTGGGTTTTACAGGAAAAAGTTTTGCTTTCTAACTCTATTGGCCTGTTGGTTGCCAGGAGAAAGACAAGTAGTTGGTGAATGATGGAGTGAAAAGGTGTGGCAGGGAGGAGAATGAATATGCTGCTGAACATGTGCCTTGTTAGTCTGTGGCAAGCAGCCTGTGTACAGCTGGCCATGAAAAGGTAGAGATATTTCAGGAATGGGTTCAGTACAGTTTGCATTAATGACACCTGTGTTTCATTTTGGGTTGGCTTGTGTTGACAATAACCACCAAAACTATGCAGGGAGACAAATGAAACTGCTCCACAAGCAGCCATGTCCTGCTTCTTGGAGGCTCTTGTGTAGTGGGCAACATGGAGCTTTGCTTGCAGGAGTAGTTGGTAAAAGCTTCAAGTTCAATGACTAAATGAAGCTTTTCTAGGAAAGCTGCACCCTCTCTGTGAAGGTGGTTTCATGTTGTGTGT